CAACCAAACTCAGGAAGAAATTCAAGAATTTATATGTTTGATATTAGAAGCTATACTTGGGTTGATAAATTTGAACCCGAGTCTACACCTATAAATGAAACGATATCGCTATCAAATTCTCCTTCAATAACTACTGATTCTGCAACAACTGCAAATACTTCAATAAATAAATCAAGTAAAGTTATAATAGGTACTATAAGTGGAATTGTCGGTGTCATAATTCTTTTAGTAATTGGAATTATAAGGTATAAATGGTATCAAAAAAGAAAACAAGATGATAAAATTATGAGGTTTTCAGGCAATTTTTAAATTATTAATTGTAGTTAACCTTAAAAAAAAATAATTTTTAATTCGATCTACAATAATTTGGATAATTTCGAGTTATTACATAAATCTTTTGACTAATATAAAATTAAATAAAACTAAATAAAACAAATATATAAATAATTAGCTGCTTCGTCTTATTAAGATAGAACACGCGAACATAAATAAACTCAAATTTAAATCTAACGATTTTTAAATAATGGTTTTTTCAAACAGTTTTTTCTTAACATACTCTTAATATTAAAAGATTTCGGAAGACAAAATCAAATAAATATTATCGTTACGTTATCATACGTAAATTCACTTATTGACTTTCAATGATGAAATCATAATTTTGAGTCGATTCGGAATCTAAAACGTACATAAAAAAAATTATCATCGTTATTGAAAACATCAATATCACAAGAAATAAATAGTTAATTCATATTAAACTACCGAGCAGACACGAGGAGTCGAATTCTTTTGTGGTATTTGTTCTTTAGAAATGAAGAATTTACTCCTTAAAAGCGTTATATGCATTCTCCTTTAATTTTTGAAACATGCTTTATTTTTTTTGCGGTGTATATTATAATTATAATTGTACAAATGAAGTTTTTTTAACTTGACTTATCTCAACAATTTTAATGTAGAAATCCGCTATTAACCGAATTAGGATTTAAGCCACTGCACGAACTAATAAATAATGATCCGACTTGTGCATCGATCTGGTCGACACGAATATTCGAGTCATGAGACTTGACCCGATGATAGATGATCTGATTATAAAGTATAGTATTTTCTTTACATCAAGTCTTTGATATCTAACCTTGTTTGTAAATATAAACTTTATGTTCTGAAGTTAAGTGACTTAACCGTTCGTAAGTATTTTTAAAAAGTGTTGAATTTTATATGTTATTACTTTTATATCTTTTTACTAAAAAATTTAGTCGTAAAAAAATTAATAATGTTGGTTTAATGTTTATAAATAAACTTTAAATACTATAACTCAAGATTCTATTATACTTTCAATTATGATCTGCCTATAAATAATGAAAATAAAAATTAATGACTTTGGCATCAAATTTTGAGTCGAATGCGATTTTAACTAAAATTTGGTCGAGTTCTGTAAATGTTGACGGGTTCGAATTCGAATATGCTTCAAATTTGAATTTACTCGACCTTACGGAACAATAGATCCAACTGTTTACATAATTAGAGGAGTAATGGAAATCAAAATAATAAATATTCATTCACTTATCTTGCCTGACGGATTAATTCTAATAATGAACCAGAAATGTATTGTATTTGATGTATAGATTATAATAAGAATTCTAAGGCGCATTTATTGTTAGAACGAAAATTTCAAAAAAGATTATTTAGATAATCATTTATCTACTAAAAAACATCAAAAAGCAGCACTTGGATATACTGCTCAGCCAACAGATCAAACGGATCTTATAATTGGATTTATAATATAGGCAAATATTGATAAGTTAGATATTATTGCAAATATGCGATGTATTTATCTGTGTACTAAATGTATCTTGCAATTGACGCATTTTCTAATTTAGTTGAATTAATAGATATTTTAAAAAAAATGACTGATTAGTATTTGATCAACCTCCAATTATTATATTTTGGTCTAAAAAAGAATTGATTTTATCCAATAATCCAAGTACTCAAACAAATTATAGTATATATAAAAATCCAATGGCAGGTACTGAATTTTTATATGCTATTGCAATGGTAATTGAAGAATCAATTTTAAATGAAGTTCACAAATTACCATCTCGTAGTTTATTAATGAATGAAAGTAATACTATTATACATGATAAAATATGTGCAGTTGTTAGCAAACACATGGCAGAAAATATTCCTATAGTTCGTTATTTGGGATTAATTGAACTACAGGAAACAAACGCAAGTGCAATTATGAGGAGTCTGAAAAATTTTTTTGTTACTAAAATGCTAAAAACTGATGATTTAATTCATTTTAGTAGCTATAGTGCTAGAATTATATTAGATATGTATAATTGTAAATATGATTTTAATCAATAATATGTGCTAATTTATTTAATTTAACTCATATTATAAAAATAATGGAGTATTAGTAAATCTTTAACAAACAAATCTCTTTATAACTAACTGTCATTGTATTGCTCATAGGTTAAATTTAGCTTGAAAGGATATAGCTAAAGACGTCTCATATTTTGAAGATTATAAAATAACATTAAAGAAATATATGCTTATGTTGGTTTATAACATCAACGTTGGCAACATTTAAAATATTTTAAACTTTAAATAAAAAAGATCCACAATTATCAGTTTTACGCATTGTTAAAACTTAATAGCTTTCACTTTCTAATGCTATTTCAAATTTACACTAAATTATCTTTTCAATAATTGATGCACTTGATAATGATGCAATCAATAATACATGCAAAAAATATGATAACAGGCTCAAAGGTTACGTGAAGTTATTGATTCAGAATTTATATTAGCAATAAAATTTCTTGCAGATATTTTATATACCTTTAGCAATTTAATAAAAATATTTCAATCAGATTATGTTGCATTATTTAATATATATATACAATTAAATTCAGTAATTGATTCAATTACAACTGAATATATTGGCAACAGTAATGATCCTGATGATATAGATTATGCCTTACTAACTTATAAAAATCATTTGCAAACATATATTTCTGATCTTATTGAACCTGACATATTATCAGCAATATTTAAAGAATTTGCCATTGCATTAGTAAACAATCTTTGCCTAGATTTCCAGATACTGAAATTTATAATACTATAAAAATTTTTGATTTTTTAAAGTTCTTACAAAGTCAAATGAAATGGCTATATATGGTGAAAATGAAATCAAAATATTAGGTGATTTTTATGGAAATTTCAAATATTAGAATGAGCAAGTTTTTTCTGCGAAGATATATAAGAATAGGATTATTCGAAAATGATGAGAAGTAAAGTTACTTTTAAAAAATTATCAACAGTATAATTTTATAAATGGATGGAGTCAAATTTTTACTATTTCTCAATTTTTAACTATTTATCTAAATTTAAGTAAAGTGGTAAACTATCCATTAATTGTATCACCTTCAAATAGTTAATGTTAAAAGAATTTTTTCTTAAAAAAACTTTATTAAAACAAAAATATACAATCAAATGAAACTTAAAACTTTAAATTCTCATCTTATGATTATTATGAATGGGCTTGAGCTTAAAGAATTGATATTTGACAAAGACTTCCAAGAAGCATTTGGTAAATAATTTGTAAATTGTTTGTTTAAATTTAATAAAATTTATAAATATAATAAATATATAAATGTAACTTTTTTTATTTTTTTGATTTTATATTTTTATTATATCACTAAGAAATTAAAATTAACACAACTTTACAATTAAATTTGGATGTATAATATGCAACTATTATTAATAGCCTGCATATAATTCACTTTTTTAGTTATGCATCTGCAATTAAAAAATTTTGAATTTTAAACACTGGCATAGATGAAGATTTTTATCTTGATTTATCTCAATAATTTAATGTAGATATATTAATTTATTGATTTTTAGCATTAAAGGTTTAAATCAGCATTTATTTTGATTGGTTAATTAGTTTTAGAAGGTTTTGCTAGTATTGTCTAGTTTTATTAAATATCATCTAGTTTCACCAGTTTCGTCTTAGTTTCAAATTATCAGAAAATTTTGGATTTTCATTCTTGAAAGCTGAAACATTTTAACCTTAAAATTTTGGTTTCACCCACAACTTTAAATGGTATCCATTTGTATATTTCTATTATATTTAGTCATTTGAAATGTTCAATACAAACTTTTTTTGAACTTATGTTAAATTCTATAGTAATAACGCCAAGCTAAAAATTTTTTCACGATTATCTTAATTTACCCCTAAGCTTATAATAAAATTTTGACACAAATAATACTTTAGTAATAAATTGCTATTTAATCTCTTAGTAGCCAAATGGTTAATCTCATTTAACAACACTTTTTCCTCAGGTGATTATCACTAATAATAGATAGTTTATCTATAATTTTCAAGATCACATAGTCAAAGTTGATATTTTGATTTTTATCATTCCAAATTTTAATGATTAAGGCTTATGAAACACCATTGCTGATGTCAATTTTTGTAATATAATTTTATAGTATTGGTTTGACATAAAATTTATTAAATATCTATAACTAGCAAATTTTTTTAAAAAAAAAGTTAAAAATAAATAAATAAAATTACATGATTTTCTAAAGTCTGCATAATCTTTAAGAGATTCAACACTTTTTGTGATATACTACTTATTTTCGATTATTCACTGCTGCACTTTACAAATATAACAATACAAGCGCTATCAGATTTGCTTAAATTTTTGGTTTATTCAGCAGAAAATTGAGAAACTTCTGACTATTAGCAGGGTTATAAATTTTGCATGTCCAATAAATAAAATGAAGTCTGAATCATAGTTATAGTACATGTGCAAAATTTATTTGTTCGATAATTAAATACGTTAAGCTATAATAATAAAAATTAAAATTTGTGTTTTATTTTATTTTAAACATTTTAATTTAATAAATTAAATGTAAGATTCTTACCATGCTATTATCATAATTATATATCCCAAGTCCTTTCAATTTGTTTATGGCAATAATACAGCATTTACTAATGCTCTGAAACAATCAAGTCGACTCAGGTTTTTTAACATGACTCGAACATTTCTCGAGTCAGAACTATCATTTTATGATACAAGTCCTAATTCAAAAAATCTGCTAGGTTAGAGTCACGTTTTTGCTCAACCTGAGTGATCCAGATGATCAGGTGATTATAAGTCATAGGACATGTGACAAATTTGTTATCAGGTAATTTTAACTCAGCAACTCAGATTGCTAAAAAAATAATTGATGGCCAATTAATACCATAATTTTGCAGTAATCTGTAAATCTTGCATTTTTGTTTAATCGTTTAAAACTCAAATGTGATTTTTATTTATATCACGTGTTTATTTTTATTTTTTAGCCATGATTTACGAAAAGAATCATTCTACTAATTTATTTCCCAAGCTCTGATTGGTTGGTATAATTGAGATTAGTTAGGGTTAGGATTAGGGTTAGGTGGTTTGTCACCAGTATGACACTAGTAATATTTTTAATTTTTATTAAACTTTTGAGGGACTTAGAATTTTTTTTAGTGAGGTGATGCTTATTTATCATTTCATGGGATGTTATAAATAAGCTTAGTCAATTATACTAGCCAATCAGAACTTGAGGGTAAATTAGTAAATTCAAAAATAATATCAGATAAAAATTGACGTCTGCTACATGACTTTAAATTTGTAATAAATAAATAATGAATAAATCTATTGATATTAAGATTATACAACTTTTTTCTAAAAAATGAAAACATTACAGAGTGAACAATTATAGGTAAAAAAAAATTATTGATTATTAAACATTAACTAATACAATTTTTTTATAAAACAACAAGTGTTTCAGTAGAATAATTTTTTTTTCTGAAGAAACTGATCAGATATCAACAAAATGATGTGATATATATGCTTGAAATTCTGGTGGAAAAAATAAAAAAAAGAATTAGATTTAATGCTCACAAAAAAAAAATTTTAAAAATATAATAGACTTTATGTATATGATACTTTTTTTATTTTCTGCATTAATATTACCTTAAATATTTGAGTTAAATCCAGGTTAAACAATCATCAGGTTGAGTCGAATCTGAGTCAAACAATTATTGGGTTGAGTCGAATTTGGGTTCTGTAATTTTTAACAGGTTTGAGTTCGAACCTAATCTGACTTTACAGAGCATTAGAAATGACTTTGTTAGTTTTATTATTGCAATAAATTGAATGTTAAATTGATCAATAATTTGTAATTGTGAATCATTTTCTCCTCATTGACAATTTTTGTGTAATAAATTTTATCTGCCAATCCTAAAAAACCTTCAGTACGTTTATCCTCAAAGTTTTTACTCATGTGATTCGTAGTTTAGCACATGATATTAGCCTTAAACAAATTACTCTTAATTATTTCAATCTTTTTTTTATTTAGGATTTTCTTCTCCTCCAAATAACTAGGAAAATCATAGCATTTATCATATTAGACTTTAAATAATTTCTAGAGAAATTTTACTGAACATTAACTTTATTAAGTGGCTAAAATTCTTGAAAAATAGATGTATGTAAATGTTAATTTGTTAATTTTTTGCCTAGTTATCAACCAGTTTAGGTCAGAAATCTTACTTGAAATTTTATTAGCAATTAGCCAGAAACACCATTTAAGGGAAAGGATTTATTTTTATGAGCGAATAATAGCTTTTACACTCAAGGATAAAACTATTATAAAAGTAGTTGATAAGACAATTGATCGATCAAAAATTTACAGTTATCATTATGCATTTTAGTTTGTTTTATTTGTTTTATTACAAATTAAGTTTATTATATAGTATTGTATGTTTTTTATTCACTATAAAAAAAGAATATTATGTAAAATAATTATTATTATATTGGAACTCTTTAATAAGTAAACTATTCATCAAGGAGATTGTATTAGTGTAAATTAAAGATTTAATGAACTTCGTATTTATTACCTTTAAGAATTGCTTCAAATTTTAATTGCAGTTAAGTTGTACTTTTTTACTAGCTATAAAAGTTAATTATTAAAGCTTAGAAAGGTTCAGGTTATAAAGGTTCATAAAAATAATAATTACCTTTATATAATCCTAATCTTAAAAGCATCTTTATCTGAATATCTGAAACTGAATCACACTTAATCCAAAATTTTTAGAATTTCATTTACTATATATTTACAATTTATTTAAAAATAATTTAAATAAAATATATTTATTAAAAAAAGTATAATTGCAAATAAATACTATAGGTAGTTATTTTTTTATTAAGCCTCTTAAACATTGTAATACAATAACTGATCATTTCTAATCATATTTATTTACGGTAATTTATTTTACATGTAGTTTTTCTTAAAACTTTAGGTACAAATAGATACTTCTAGATTTTATTAAGTATATTAAGGCGAATATCATTATAGAGAAGACAGGTGTCTAACTCTGCTAACCAAGTTTAAGAATACTTTTCTTCACTGAGTTTTGCCATACCATAAATATGTGCAATTAATGAATGAAAATTGACAATACATGAAATATTATAATCATAAATTATTTTTTCAAAATAAGTACTTATTCCTGATGCATATTTTCATATTCATTCATTGTGATATATTGTCTCATACCTTAACATTCTTTTCAGATTGTTTCTTTCTCTATCCAAGTTTTATTTCTTTGATTTCTAATTTTAAGGCTTTAATATTTTTCCGTAATGTTACCATAATTAGCATTGTGTAATTATAAGCAGAATTGTAATTTTAATCTGCTGGTCCTAAAAAAACCTTCAGTATGATTATTCTTAAAGGATTTTCTAGTATAATTAGCAAAAAATCACCAGCACGTTATTAGTGATAACCCATTTGTATTACTAAATGACTACGCCAGTTAATATCACTAATGATCACTAGGAAAATTATGATCATCATTTTCACTAATTTTACTGCTATCACGGTTATCGTTATGATATTTATTTCTTTATTATTAAATTTATCATTATTTTATTTACTATCTTTATTATCATAGTTATATTTACTTTCACTATTATATTTATTATCTCTTTCT